AATACCTTATAAACAACATCCAAAAAATCTCTCTGTTGGCCATCAACATCACCGGCAACCGCTTCCTGAACAATGCCACCTGCAGCTGGAGCAGCAGCAGGAGCAGCTAGATTTGGTTCAGCAGCAAATGCCTAGAAAATACAATTTCACAAAATAAATAAGGTCCCATACGAACACCTGCTTCTGCTCTTTTTCATTTGAGGCTAAAACTGGCAATTTCTTCAAAATTTTTCGCCACGTTTTTCACACAAACCAAAACCGTTGCATGTTGTTCTATCGATTTCCTGGGGAAGATGGTTAAGAGGGCTCGAAAGAAGTGTTCCAAAAGCAATATCGGGGCAAGGGCTGGACTAATATATTCCACTTTGGACAAAAAACGAACGTTAGGATCGCCAGCAGGCTAATAAACAGAGAATGCAGTAGTGATCAAAGTTACTGGAGGAGTCACCCGCTGAGTGGATGGACAACCTATGAATTGCAACTTGTGCCAGTACTTGAAATATAAATATCAGTACTGCTCAGAAATTAATAATACGGCACTGTAATTATCTGTGCAAGAAAAAATACACATACCTGCTGCGGTCGATTGGCTTGTTGAGGTTGCAATGGTAAATTTGCACTTAGCATTTGCTGATTGTTCAGAAGAAATTGAGGCGAAAATTGCACAGCATTTGGATTGTTCCCTACTGCGGCCATCATCTGATACATACTGCAAAAAACAAGAAATTTTCTTTACCCCATTCACTGAGCTTTACTGATATTTAAATGGGCTATTAGTTCATCACTGAGATTCATTCGTAGTGCATCTGGTACCGTGTATGAACGTGTCGATGGATCGAAGAAACCAATGCGGGGGTGCTGGGCTGAGCCGGCAACAAAAAGATAGTTTATTGTAAGAGACACTGACACTGGAAAGAATGAGTAATTGATGAATCACTAGTACTGGTACGAATAGATCGGTTGTGAAATGCATTTAGACGTTAGACGTGGAGAGGCTCTTTTCTGCTTAACTGTTGCCCCATACATACACCATAAAAAGATTACGGAGGACATAGAGAGAGAGATGAAAAAAGCAGCAGCGTTCGAGACCAGGTAGTAGTAGTATTCAATGGGACAGTCTGAAAGCCTTGAACTAATAATAATCCCTTCTGGAGATAAAAC